TTATTTGTATTTCGTTACCAGGACAGAAACCAAAAGCTACCGTAAGATCAATTTTCTTTGTATTTTGAAGTCAATGAACTACAGAAAGTAGGCGTGGAACGACCGCATGAAATATATCGCCGGCATCCTTAATTTACAATGATTTAGTGGACTCTTCCTAACCCGATAAAATTCAGAAGCTTTGTCAGGCCTCAGGGCTGTCGGGGCTCTACACACATTAAGGACATGACGAAAGTAGATTGTAGATCGATAAGCTTGATCGAAATTTGAAGATGAAAATTTGATCATAGATGGAGGGGTCAACAATATGTACTAACATGGCTGAGCCATGTTTGGCTGGAAATGTTCAACATTTGGTCAGAATCGATTAGCGATACCATTTATGCAACGTCGTCTTTTAGCACGCGCGCTTGCAAATCTCAGCAACAAAAATCTCGACATCAGGCGACGCAGTCTCCATAGTCCGCGGAGCGTTAGCCCAGAGGCTAACTCTTAGCCGTGGCCCACCGGTGGGCGAAAATGATGACGTTTCCGAAATAAGTACCTTAAAACACTGAATTTTTTTGGCGATATAAGTCATGTGACGTAGTTTTGAGCAAGAGCACCCGCGAACCTAGTCACAAAAACCTCGACGCCGGGCGTTACGGTCTCCGTAGGCCACGCGGCGTCGGCCCAGCAGGTAATACCGAGCCGTGGCTAACGGCTGGACGAGAATGATGACGGTTCTGAAAGAAGTGCCTTTGAACGCTTGAGGACATCAAATCTTCCATTAAGAAGATAGTCTGGGTGCATACCTTACGCGAGCAATTTTTAGACCGATGATGAGAACGGATTGACCCTTAAAGCACCGCGAAATGGTGCTGGAATCTGGTGGTAGAACTGGAAGAGTGAAGGTAGGATTTCTACTTTTCGTGTTTCATAAGTATTTTTTTCTGTCCAGAAGGCAGATTAGCACGGCACTCGCCGTCTGGTGGCACTTGCAGTGACCGACGCCTTTCGGTTTTACGCAAGCTGCAACACAGGCCATCGCTGTCCTTGCTCTCGGTGTTGCGGGCGGGCACGCTTAAACCTTTTGATGTAGTTTGTTTTGCTAGTCCATTCTGGAAAGGATGAACGCTCTCAGGCAAACATGGAATGCCCTTGTTCGCTTTTCATTTTTTTCTTATTTCGGGCATCTCTTTTCAATGATAATAATGAGACCCCCACTCTACTCAACAATATTGAGACCCATTTATTTCCCTCCGGACAAGGGACTCCTGAGTAGAACGCCAGAGACACATTACCGTTTCGGTTCAAAGGCTGAAAGGCCACTCCGTCCCATCGCGAAGTACCTTCTGGCTGTCATTCTGGCGACACGGGGCGGGATCTGGTCGATCCGGAGGCCCTCAGAGGTATACATCATTTCACGCTATTCCCCTCCCTGACGCGGGAGGCCTTTTAACCCACGCGGTTAGCTCCATATCAGCACATTAACCCTCATTGACGCAACAACGTCTCTGCTCGCTGCAGGTGATCCAATAATTGTCACATAGACTCCGGTTCCATATTTTTCTTTGTTTTTCAGAAATATTGAGGGCTCCCTGAACGTAGATTGCAGATGAAATGGAATCTCAAATTCATACAACATGGCTAATCCATGTCGATCTTAAAATCTTCAAGATTCAGTCAGAATTGGTCACTGATAAAAGCTATGCAATATGGTTTTGAACATGCACGCTCGCGAAGTCATATCAAACAACCTCGACACCCGGCGTTGCAGTCTCTGCGCGGCGTCGGTCCGGCCGCTGTGACACTAAGCGATGGCCAATGAGCAAACGAAAGAGATGACATCTCGAGGAAGATGGCTAGTGAACTAGGTAAATCGGCATGCATGTTTCACGTAGTGCAAAATTCATCTAAACACAACCTTAATCTGAAAAGTTTGGGGGGGGGGGGAAGGGCAGCACCGCCTTACGGCTGCTATTCTGACGACAAGAGGCGGGATCCCCTGGTTCATCAAGGGGATCTTAGAGCAATACATGATATCATATTGCTCTCCGCCCTGACGCGAGGGGCCTTCTGACGCGCGCTGCTGGCCGCAGATCGACGCAGAAACCCTCACTGTCGCAACGACATTCCTGATTGCGGCGGGCGGTCTAACCATTGGACCATAGACTTCAGTTCGACTCAACGGCCCGTGGTGGAATTATGTTGGGGGCCGATCGTTCGGTGCTGGGGGTCCTGACTGGCACAAAACCCTTCCATTGTCTTAATGCGACCACTCGTCATAAGTTTGCACGTTTCCTTTCATTGTCAGAGTGACCCGACCAACGCAAGAGGTCCCGTGTCATTCGGGGTCCCGTCCCCGTTCCTGTTGGGCCCCTCGTCCTCTGAGCGACCCGAGGCCCCGTGTTGACACAGATCACCCTGCTGGGCACTGGCACCCTGGCCAGTATAGAAGCCCCGCATTGCTGCAGGGTCCCGGAGCCATGCAGATTACGGGCCCGGCCTTGTCCTCCCTTGGGAAATGGGTCCAAAGAGGATCAGACCGACACGGGGCTGACTGCTCGGTGTTGGTGATTTCTGGCCGAAATAGAGGAGCGTTCTGTCTTAGGGATCCCCAATCGGTACAAGAAGCCCTCTCACTGAGATTTGAGATCACAGCCCTGCGGACGGGTGTCCTTAGTGCAACCTACAGCCAGCCCATCTGGCCCTTCGGCCTTCCAATTGGGCCCTTAATCTTTGGTCCTGAGAGACCCTTCGGGCCCTCTTCAGGCCCCTTTAAACACCGTTCCTGGCCGTCTCGGGGCTACTTGCTGCTAAAGAGCCCCTGTTACGCACTGTGGCCCCTTACAGACACAGGAGCCCCCCATTGTGTCAGGGACTTTGAAAATTACCAATCGCGTGCCCCCGCCTCGTTCCCAGTTAGGAATTGGGTCCCATGGGCACAGACGGACATAGAGCCGATCATTTGGCTCCGCTTTGAGACCGTGTCTGATTGGGATAGAAAACCCAATAGGGGGCCCTTGTAGAAGACCGCGGAATGATATTTCAGGTCACGACACAACGAATGGGGAGATGGACTCGATTCCAATCTGGCTCTTGACCTTTGGTCCCATTGGCCCCTCGGCCCCACTTCGGACTTCCTCAAACAAAGTTCGCGGCCGACTCGGGGCCACTAGCCGGGACAATGGTCTCTTCTTAGGTACTGTGAGGCGCCTGACTGACACACGGGCCCCAGCCATTGTTTCAGGGACCTAGACCAATGCAAATCCAGGGTTCAGACTGACAGGGAGCCAACTGTTCGGTGTTCGTGGTCTCTGGCCGATTAAGACAACTGCATTGTCTCGACGGATCCTCAAACGGTGCCAGGGGACCTCTAGCTGATATTTCAGGCCACTATCGTACTGGGTGCAATTTTTTATGCAGTCTACAGCCAGTCTTCTAGGCTCTTGTGCACTCCAACACAGCCCTTAATCGTCAGTTCCGCTGGGCAGACCGGGTCCTTCTTCAGACCTCATTTAACACTGCACTTGGACGGCTCGGGGCCTCTTGCGAACACAGGACCCTCTGTCAGGTACTGTGGGCCCCTGACAAATATGGGGGCCCGACCATTGTAAATCGCTGACCCCGACTCTGCAGCTGATCGGAAAGTGGGCCCGCAGGCCCATGCCGACACGGAGCCGGCTGTGTGACACTGATGGTGTCTGACCGACATATAGGCTTTTATCGACTCGGTGGGTCCCCGATCGGCGCAAAAAGTGCTCTGACTGTCATTTGAGGGCTTGCTCTCGCAAGCCGGATATCCTTAAGCCCTCCGACCGGGCCCTCGATCGACGATCCCGGTAGGCCCCTGCCTCTGGCCGACTTGGGCCCGTTGCCAACACGCCCCCCCCCCCCCCCCCTGTAAGGTGCTGTGGGCTCCCGACAGACGCTGGGCCCCGACCGATGTAAATCGCTGGCTCCTGCTTTCTCCCTGCTTGGGCATTGGACCCTCAGGCCCTTGCCACACGGAACCGGCTTTGCGTTATTGATGTATTTCTCATTTTGGACATTCTGTACCTTGGACATTGTATAATTTTAATATTCTGTTTATTGGACATTCTGTAATTTGGACATTACTGTGCGTTTATATATTCTGCATCTTGGACAATATGAAGGCTTCCCGAATATTTGTCACACGGGGGTTGATTGCAAGGGAATTAAAAACTTCCTCCTCGCCTCCTACGCACTGGGGAATTCAAACATGCTTAATATCGTTTCGGTCCCAAGCACTTCGTTGCATCATTTGTTTTGTTTTCCAAAACTGCCTCCTACGTGGCAGTTTTGTTTTCTCAGAAATTGAAGAATGTATAATACACAATCTATGCATGCATCCATAGACCATATACATTTGACCACATACAGAACAGTAGCCTTGATATATTTCGTCAATAAAACTCTCTAGCGACTTGGAAATAAACATACCCTGTTTGAGACTAAAACCGCAAGATGCCACCAAATAGCCGTATAACTTTAGGCAAAAGTCTAGTGATTTGGACACAAACGCCAGCCAGATACGCATCCTTGGGACAGTCGTAGATGACGCCATCAACGAATTCATTTTAACAATTCCGTTCTGTTTCATCCAACGACGCCACTGCGAATTAAAATATTGTCCGTCTTAACTCTGCGCCACCTCAAATGCAACGTTGTGTAATCTACAGTGGCCCGTAGCGGTAACGCATGCCAATACGTCATGCTAACACATCAGGAACGAATTACAAAATGTTTTGCATGGATAACGCTTTTCATTTTGGTAGGTAAAAACATGCTTTGCAGCAAATTTGTGCCCAGGCTCATCTTATTTGCCACAACGTGTCGTAATGACGGAAAACAAAACGCAGCCACATCCCAGTTCAGTGACGTCATGGATCAAGCAGAACAAATCCCACAACTATCCAACTAGTCAATCGAGTAGAATGCGCCACATACGGCGCAAGGTATCGACGATAATCGAGTCAGCGCGTGGTGGGAGCGAGAGTTTCTGGAGAGCCACGGCAAGGAGGGGACAGCCGGGGTACGCACCCAGTGCAGTGGCCTGGCGATAATTGTGGTCTCGCTTCCACGGTAGTATATATCTCGCCTGGGCGTTTAACACCTACTCCACATTTTTCACAGGTAGGTGTGCAGGATGTGAAGCGTGCTTGGAACGGCTGGGATTAGGCCATTTTGTTCTCTGTCAGCAAGGCAGCAGGCATAAACCCAAGCAGTGAGCAGTCTGTCCCCAAAATACAACTGGTGGTATTAAAGGTGTTGATGGGCTACGAGTAGACTCAGCCTGTAAAATGCCCATATAAGTTGAGTGAGCTGACTAGGAGAGGGAGATGGCATCTTCTCTTGGCTTAGCAGGCATTGGTCTGGTTGGTGTAGGTGTACTTTCCTACCTAACGTTAGCCTGAACTCCCCATCGCCGTTTCTGCGTTGCCATTGCGTAAATACAATATTTCTGCTTACCAAGAACTCTACAAAATGTACAGGACCAAGGTAAACATTCGTCGTGTTTAAGGCGGAACATATCGTAAATAATTTCAAAACAGATAAAATCATGCTCCTACCCTCGAATTTTAATAAATACGATAGCGAGCTCCCGAGCGCCGCACGCACCGCACCGCGCCGCCTCGACTCCCAAGCGCCGTTTCTGCGTTGTTGCGAAAGCACAATATTTCTGCTTATCAAGAACCATAAAACATGTATGGGACCAAGGTAACAATAATAAAGGCAACCAAAATCGTTTCTTATCGAGTTTAGGTACATTTATGAAACACACAGGCCAGAATAGTCCAGAACATATTCTACACAAGCCTAACCTAACCTAACCTAACCTAACCTAACCTAACCTAACCTAACCTAACCTAACCTAACCTAACCTAACCTAACCTAACCTAACTGAGAATAGACCAGAACCTAAGCTAAGCTAAGCTAAGCTAACCTGACCTAACCTACCCTAACCTAACCTAACCTAACCTAACCTAACCTAACCTAACCTAACCTAACCTAACCTAACCTAACCTAACCTAACTAACCTAACCTAACCTAACCTCCCCACCCTATATCCCCTTCAACCCAGCATCCCATTGGCATCCATGTTCCATGCCATATATAGGTGCCATATAGTGATCTTTTATTTAGCTGCCATGTTCTCATTTTGCTTTACATTCCCCACCCAATCCCCCTGCAACCCATGGTCCCGTTGGCGTCGAGGATCAAATTTCATGGATTCTTGTCACCTTGGCCCGGTACATTTTTATGGTTCTTGATGCTGCTTGATGCGCAGTAATGTTGTGACCCGCGCAGTAATGGCGCCGGTGTCGCGGGTGCTGTGTGTGTGCGGCGCTCGGGAGCTCGCCATCGTAATTATAAAAAATTGAAGGTAAGATCATGAATCTACCTGTTTTGTGATTATTTACTGATATGTCCTGCCTTAAACACGACGAATGGTTTGCCTTGGTCCCGTACATTTTGTAGAGTTCTTGGTAGGCAGAAATATTGTATTTACGAAACGGCAACACAGAAACGGCGCTGGGGAGTCCAGGCGGTGCGGCGCGCGCGGCGCTCGGGAGCCCGCCATCGAAGTTATTGAAATTTGAAGGTAGGAGCATGATTCTACCTGTTTTGAGATTATTTATGATATGTCCTGCCTTAAACACGACCGAATGGTGTACAATGATTTTTTCTAACGTTAGGTAGGAAAGTACACCCTGACCGTCTGGTTGGGCTTTGAAAGAGTTCTATTTGCAGACATATCATTTTCAGGTGGGCTGTTCCATTCAAACATGGCTGTGTTGAAAATCAGGAAGTACTTGGCTCATGCTTTGGAGTAATTATTTTTCCACAGTTTTAAAGGCTTAACTTAAGTTAACTTAATTAAATCACACTGGAGGGCAGATTGTTCTGAGTACCTATGAATTGTTCTGGAAGCTGAATGCTGTCACCTTACATGGTTTGTAGCATGAAATTTCTGTAATTTGACATATTGTCTATTGTCTGTCCTTCATAAGGAATAATCCTGAGCTTGAAGTCATGCACTCTTCCCCCAGTCCCTGGCCCAGTTCAAATTCTGGCAGCAGGGACGTGAATTGTTGAAGCAAGTTGTTTAATGATGCTGCTAGTGTTGGGCCACTTGTTTGGGGTATTTTCTGGAAAGGGAAATAAGTTTTCTGTGTTCTAGGCATGTAACCCAAGTGGAAAACAATAAAATGTGAAGATTTTATTTTAGGCAAGACATTGCCTTGTTGGTATTTTCTTGCTGTGATGCATAGGCTTGAGATAGCTAACAGCTTGTATGCCTGCAGCTTGTTTAACTGCAGTTGCATTAGTCTCCATTTGTCCTGAAGAGACTTTGATTAATCAGCTGCCATTGGACTGTGATATCCAGTGAATGACTTTGCTGTTTGCTGATCAATTCTAATGCCCAGTTCTGAGAGCAGGCCCTCAGAGTACTGAGGTCATATTGATGGATATGTGTAGGTCACTAGCATTATTAATTTACAATATATATTGGTGTCATCTACAAGCATTTTCACTTTACTCTTTACCAAGGTTGATATTTTATTTTCATGCTACAATGAAAGTGTTGGTCCTTTCACCAAACACTGAGGCACTGCATAGCTAAGAGTGCCCAGGCATTTACTTGCTGTGTCTGCTTACTATGGGGGGTGACTTAACATAGACATTACTTCCTGTGTCTGTTTCTGCAGTCAAAGCATCTTTCTACCAGCTCAATTGATTGCCGTGCTATAGTGTACACAAAATAATGAGTTGTTTTATGGTCTTGAGAGGACTATTTGATGACTTCTGTTAATCCAGGGGCCTTATGATAATCAAGCAAGTCAGTGTCCATGTTGATTCACTGTTTATGGGTATTGTTCTAAGCCAGTCATGAAGAGTTTCAAGAATCTATATGTGACAGGATGTTTATGGGTTATATTATGTTGGTGGAGACTCAAATTGTGACCATCTTCCACGTGAGGCACTCGCCTAACATTTCGTCTTCCATTGCTGTCTCATTCAGCTTATTAATCTGTGGTGTTAAGGATTTATTATAGCTCTCTTCTTGAAAATAGGTGTGATGTTGCTGCCAGCTGTCTTTTAGTCATGAGGGAGCTTATATTCAGTACTTGTTCTTTTATGACATGTTAATGAAAACATGCTGGTTTGCACAGTGCCTTAAAATATTGTGTGGTTGCGTGCCATCCTGATCTTCTGTCTCTGCTGTTCTGAGTTGCTCAGCTTGTGAATATCCTATGTACAAAGCCCTCCTCGCTGAGGTTCACACCTTCTCACACTGGGAGAAGACTGGGTGGCTGTTTGTCCTGCCAGTACACAAACACTGAACAAAATCTGTGCGATGTTATCTGCAGCTCCTTGAGCTCAGTTAGGTCATGTTCTATATTCCACCAAAGATGGCAAATACCTATGGCCAACAATGATCATAACTCTATGTTTAAGTTTTTAACATCATTATGTTACCTTCTTCAGATACCAGGCTGGGTTCATATTATTGCTCTGTTGGCTTTATCATCTGTGCAATTTTGTTGCAGTTTGTGTATTACATGTAATCTAGGTAGTCTTCATGTGATAATGCTTTCCATTTTCTGTATTTTAACTTAACTTGTTTCCTCAATGTGACATTTCTATATTTTTAAGCTTTCTCTTTGAGACTTCAATACATATTTTACAATCCTTTCATTAGGTAAGCCTTGGAAATTAACAAGAGGTTGATTTGCCACAAGAGATTGATGTGCCACAAATACAATGATGCCTTTATTGTCTGACATGCAGCCAACAACATGGATTCGTTTTTGCTCAAGTACACTTGTATGATCTTATCATGTAGTGTCTGTTCAAAAAGGCAGGTGTTTGACAGCAGCAGCATGTGATTAGTTCACGTGATTTTTTCAGGGTCATCTAGTTTTTGACATATGTGAAGGCATTGCATGGTCTTTGCTCATCAGCAGACATTCACCTGATTTTGAGTGTTTGTTCTTAGTGCCTCTTGAAAGTGAGGCCCCTAGTTTATGAACACCAGACATTTGTTCCTACTTTCCATTCATCTTTTTACAAATGACAGGACAATTTCCGGACCCTGGTTCCTGGTACACACTGGTTCACTCACTAAACATAAGATCCTAAGTCATGGTTGGTTTTAGGTTATTCACAAACCCTAAATGTGATTACAGTTTCATGGTTATTTACCATGATGAAATGCAGAGGCTGAAATATAATTTTTTAGCTTTGTAGCACATTTTTGTGGTGGTATATAATATGCACATGGCTTCATAGTATATATAATTTTCAGAATGAGATAAACATGGTGAAACCAGAAAAGTTAACAAGGAAACACAACTGAACCTTGGAGGCTGCTCATCCAACTTTTCCACCATCATGTTGTTGGTCTTGTTATCATAAAATTGCATCAGCAATATTTAGTGAGCACATTCCAAAGCTGTTAGCACCTGAATGTGGGTGGCCATAAATACCAACCAAAATTGATTTGATATCTCAGTTTCAGTAATGGTATGTGATGACGATGCCTCATTGCCAGATCTGTAAAAGTGCATCATGCCAATGAACACAAGCTCCTAATGCAACCTCTGGATTCTTGGGAAGATCTTGATGGGAGAAGAATAGCATTTTGCTTCTTACTGTTTTCCTGTAGATTGCCTTATGCTGGCTTTGGTCCTTGCTAAATCCACACTCTGAGCTCACAATGGTTCCTGGGTTCTTCTTGGTTCCAAAAACGAGGAATGAGCTCCCAGAGAAGAAATCTTGGGAGCCAGACACAAGTCTGCTTGAAACTCTTTCCTGGACATTGGCTTCTGAATTGATAGCTCGTACACCCAACTGTGTCATATGCCATTACCTAAATCTTCATATGAATCCCTTCGGGATGAAAGTTCTCGCAGTACCATTTTGTATGGGGACTTCTCGCCACCCAAACGATCCAAACTGCGTTACACTTGCCGCGCCTTACTATCTTGAGGAAGTGTTATGGAACAGTTTGTTGCGTCTGCTGTGTGTGATGTAAACATGTCATCCCTGTCGCTCGGCTGATGAGGGTCGGCTACGGTAATCAGCGTTTGGCATATGTCTTTGGTCGGTTCCCAGAGACAGCACTTGTGATCCATGCCTTTGATCAGTTTTTCGATGAGAACAGAGGGACAGGCGACGGCACAAGGTCCCTGACGTGGTCCCAAGACCCGCTTTTCGAACCATTCTGTCCAGTCTCTGAGGGCATATACCTGAGGACGCGTACTCCCCTGGGTATGAGGACGAGAGGACGTGTACTGACCTGGACATCAGGACGCGAGGACGTATGCTCCCCTGCCTCGCCGGTGGAGGTCGCTGACCGGGGATGGTCGTGTTCGCAGGCGGCGCACGGCGTCATGTCGTCCAAGACCAAGCGCAAGTACGTGTACCAGGAGCACCTGGGCGCCGCGCCGACGCCCAGCGGCGGCCAGACGATCGGGCGCGTGCTGCAGGCGCGCGGCAACAACCTGCACCAGGTGGAGGACGCGGCCGGCCACGTCTACCTGGCCAGCATGCCGCCCAAGTTCCGGCGCAACATCTGGGTGCGGCGCGGCACCTTCCTGCTGCTGGAGCCCATCGCCGAGGGCGACAAGGTGCGCGCCGAGGTGGCGCACGTTCTGTCGCGCGAGCACGTGACCGAGCTGCGTCACGCCGGCGTCTGGCCGGCCCGCTTCGCCGAGCGGGAGGCGGCGGCGACCGGTGACGTCGCGGCGGCGACGGAGGACATGGAGCGGCTCGGCCTCGGGGGCAACCCCAACCGGCCGCCACCGCCGCCGCCGGAGTCGGACGACTCGGACGACTCGGACGACTCGAACGACTCGAACGACTCGAACGACTCGGACGGCTCCGACGACGCGGAGTCGGAGTCGGACGGCGACGCTGACCGCAGCAGCAGCGAGAGCGGCTCGTGACGCGGGCGGTACGGGCTGAAGCGCCGCTCGTGCGCCTGCATTGCGAGGGAGCCGTGCCAGCGGCTCTGCCCCGGGTTGGGTTAGCGTGACACTGCCCCGGGGACGGCGCAGGGGCAGGCTGCCGCCGGACGACCCCGCCGCACGGAACAGACCGTGCTGGGGACGCCGGTGACCCGTGGGGGGGGGGGGGGGGGAACGGGCTCGCGTGGTGCACGGTCGACGTCTGCTGGGTATCTTCATGAAACTTGTGTTCGGGGTGTACTGTTTGCTGGCGGTTCTGAGGTATCGGGCTACACCAAATGCAGCCGTGTACATATTTGATCTAGGTACGAGTCGTGTGCATATTTGGTCTAGGTATGCACGTAAACTTGGCCATAGTTTGTTCCATATCGCCCTCTTTGTCTCGCTCTGAATCGGTGGGCACGTGTTTGCTGTATTATTAGCATCGTCTGTTCGTATGCGCTGTGTTTCGCTCGGCGCCAACTCACGTCCGCCCGGCCATCTCGCGGCCACGCCTTCAGTGAGAGGGAGCATCGAGTACACTCTAAACACAGCCACGTTTGTTCTGTTGGATGCGAGTCATCCGGCAGACGCATCGAGTCACCTCAGTTGCAGATCAGAACGGGTAGAAAAGCTACTTCTACGGAGCGTCGTAGTTCACGTAGTTAAACTTCACCAGGAATCAGCACCACTTGATGCACGTATCCTCAGATTTTGTGCTCACTGATTGAAACAGCCGTTTGAATAACTGTGTTGTATGTGGTGGTGTCATGCGTTCTTTGATGATGTATACATGCAGGTTATAGTGTGCAATGATGCATCGTGTGACTGCTGTAAACTGTTGCAATCATTAAAATATATTTTACGAGTTCGCGTTGGGAGTATATCGTACAAGAAGCTAAAAAAACATCACCATGCAATAGTAGTAAAAACACCCAATGGTCTTCCACTAGAAAATTCGTGATTGTCTGCCAGTAGTTCAAGTTCGCACCAACCTGGCTACTGATCCTGACGTTCAAATGACCGCCTGGCTTCGGCCTGGGCGTGGCTTTCGTTGTGGACACGAGGTCGTGAAGTTCTCGGTGTCGCCGAATGTCAATTTCCGTTCGTAGCGTTTGCGTTGTCTGCGGTTACACATAAAGGATCACGCTGACAAAGCACGTGGTGATCTCCACCGACGAAATGGGGTACGCATCGCGGTCTCCGCACGTGAGAGATAGGCTTCGGTTGCTTTTGGTGCTACTTGGCACTTCTGTGTGGAGCCGTTGCAGGATCCACTGCTGCAACCCCAAAATAGCAAAGTCACGAGCAATAAATATGGTCATGTATTGCAAAATAGGTAGCAATTACCCCCTAAACATCGGTCTGTATTCTACATTTACCTCAGCTTACCATAGACCCTCGCGAGAAAGCGTGTAAGCACTTTCACCACGGGAGAAGATCAGTCCGGCATGCGTTTAAGTAACTGCGAAACGCATCCGCGCCCAATAACTGCATTTGGGTGCATTTTAGTGTCGTTGCTCATTACGTAAGTTGTTCAGTGCACTAGCGAGGAGCACTTTTCACATGGATAGGACAGTAGTATTCGCCTTATTCCTCGGAGAAAAATCAGGAAAATGGAGTTACAGTTGGGTTGATATTTCGGCAGCGTGCCTTTATCGAAACAGTAGCAGAAATGCACACTTCTGCCTGATTTTTCTCCGAGAAATACGGCTAATAATGCTGTCTTATCTACGTCGCTCATCACTTTTAATTCCGTCCAGCGTTTAACAGATCCGATCCCGCTCAAGAAACACATCAATGTGGCGTGAAAGCTAATTCAGCCCATGCTTCTCGTTACCAACTGAAACAACACACAAAGCACCTAGAACCGTTTTCGGTCATGCTCTTTGTACTAATTGGTCTCACGCGCTATGCTGTACGTCTTTTAGGTTACGAATCTTCTCCCATGTAGAAAGCCTAAACGCTCCCCTGACTCAATATACTACTATGGTTCATGCATTACTACACGCTTTCCGACATTACGCAGTTGCCCCACATGGCGGAATTAGCCACGAGAAGAGCTGTCTTGTGGCTGACCCCTCATCTCGTAACGTTCATCTGGACAGGATCCGCGCCGCGCGGACCGACGAGACCCTCTAGTGCCAACCATCAGCCCCTGCCCCGCCGGCCCCGGTCACAGGTCAGCCCCGGTCACAGGTCAGCCGCGGTCACAGGTCGGCCCCGGTCACAGGTCATCGACGGCCACAGGTCAGCCTCAGGACAGGTCAGACCCGGTCACAGGCCATGCCTAGCCACAGGTCAGGACCGGTCACAGGTCATCAACTGTTACAGGTCGGCCCCAGCACAGGTCAGCCCTGGTCACGGGTCAGGCCCGGTCAAAGGTCAGCCCCAACGAATGTCAGCCCCGGTCACGGGTCAGGCCAGGTCACAGGTCATCAATTGTCACAGGTCAGACCCGGCCACAGGTCATCAACGGTCACAGGTAAACCCCGGTCACAGGTCAGCCCCAGCACAGATCAGACCCGGTCACAGATCAGCCATGGTCGCGGGTCAGCCCAGGTCACGGGTCAGCCCAGGTCACAGGTCAGCCTAGAACAGGTCAGTCCCGGTTACAGACCAACCTCAGCACAGGCGCCGCCCCAGTATGGACGGGCGACACCCCACGACCCCAGCGCCGGCCGCGACCGCCTCAGCCGCTGTAGAGCTCCTCCACCTCTGTCCGGTACTTGTCCATAATGACCTTGCGGCGCATCTTGAGCGTGGGCCCGAGCTCGCCGCCCGGTATGGAGAACTCGCCGGACAGGAGGCGCCACTTCTGAACCCAGCAGGCGTGCGACTCGGCTCGCTCGTTGGCGGCCGACACCCCCTTTTGAATGTCGGCCCGGTACTGTCGGAGACCACACGCGGGTCACAGGGGTGCGGCAGACACCCGTCGGAGTGGTGCGGCAGACAGCAGTCAGAGGGGCGCATCAGACATCGGTCAGTGGAGCGCGACAGACACCTACCAGAGCAGTGCGGCAGACACCGAACAGAGGGGCACATCAGGGGCCAGGCAGAGGGGCGCGTCCGACAGCGGTTAGGCAGAGGAAGGAGGGGGGCGACACTGAACAGTGGTGCCCGACACGCTGGTGCCCACACTACGAATCGGTCCCAAGGACAACTCCACGCTGCAACAATGCCTTCCCTATGCGGAGGTCTATTAGCACCAGGGACGGCGACTCCACACTAACTGAGACGGCTGGACGTCCAAGAGCCACAGTCCATCGGGCACAGTTGTGGGCCAGAGGCAGAGTTGAGTCAGCTGTTTTGGCTGCAGTCAGTGAAAAGTCGGCTCAAACATATATGTTGACCCCTTCTTGTTATTTTGGCAGCCCTATGTCCACCAAATGGAACACGGTTTATTTCACAACATCACGAATCGCGCGCGCGCGCGCACGCATGCACGCACGCACGCGCGCGCGCACGCAAGCACGCACACGCACACGCTCACGCACAGAGAGAGAGAGAGAGGGATATATATATATATATATATATATATATATATATACGCGGGCCTTTATGCAGCGCCTAGTGGTTTATCTCGTATACGACCATCAGCGGAATTGGCTCCATCGGAACATCTTCTGGAATCCGACCATATCTACTGGAGTCGGAAACTGAACCAACAAAAAACTGCAGCGCCACTCGTCATTTGAGTCGGGAAAAGCCACATGCACTGCGCACTAGAATCTAAATCGATTCCGTGGAGGTCGACTAACACACAAGTTCACTTACAGCGTACCGCGCACCACCAGCCAATATGTGATCACGTCTTCGCATCAGAAGCGATCGCTCCCAAACACTTGCCTGGTCCAGAGATTTCAGCGCGCCAGAGGCAGTGGTGGCCTGCACCCCTCGGTCGGCCAGCCACTCCCTAGCCATTGGCTGCAGCTTGTCAGTGGCCTCACCGGTGTCAGGGTCCATCTCCACCTGGCGACAGGATGACAATGGCGTCACACGCAGCAGCGACACCAACGTCTTGCGATGACGTCACCCGAGAGGGCGGAAAATGTGTTTACTGTACACAGTGCACGGGAGGAACAGCACGGATAGCTCACCACTGTCCCATATTCACATTCGCAGCCTGCGAAGCACGTACTTCGCTGGCTACACACGGGAGATCGGTAGCACTGCTTGGTCAGGTCGGGTCAGGTCATGTCAGGTCAGGACCGTGGTTAAGGTCAGGGCGCTTCTAAAGGCACGCCTGGGAGCGGCGCAGGGAGGCGAGCGAGCGTCTGAGGTGGAGCCGACCAGATGGGCCTGACCGTAGTGTCAACTGGGCTACACGCTAGGACCAGTCCACCCATCAGCGATCGCGACAATATGGCGGCGCTATTTGGGTTTGCGACGCCCGGGTTCGCCGAGCTGGACTTCGCCGGCCAGCCTGGTGGCCAGCGCAGGCACCGCCAGGTTCCAGCAGGGTAAGCGCCCCAGCTGTCCTACGGCGAGCGATAAGCGCCCCAGCTGTCCTACGGCGAGCGACAAGCGCCCCAGCTGTCCTACGGCGAGCGATAAGCGCCCCAGCTGTCCTACGGCGAGCGATAAGCGCCCCAGCTGTCCTACGGCGAGCGATAAGCGCCCCAGCTGTCCTACGGCGAGCGATAAGCGCCCCAGCTGTCCTACGGCGAGCGATAAGCGCCCCAGCTGTCCTACGGCGGGCGATAAGCGCCCCAGCTGTCCTACGGCGGGCGATAAGCGCCCCAGCTGTCCTACGGCGAGCGATAAGCGCCCCAGCTGTCCTACGGCGGGCGATAAGCGCCCCAGCTGTCCTACGGCGAGCGATAAGCGCCCCAGCTGTCCTACGGCGGGCGATAAGCGCCCCAGCTGTCCTACGGCGGACGATAATCACCCCAGCTGTCCTACGGCGGGCGATAAGCGCCCCAGCTGTCCTACGGCGAGCGATAAGCGCCCCAGCTGTCCTACGGCGGGCGATAAGCGCCCCAGCTGTCCTACGGCGGGCGATAAGCGCCCCAGCTGTCCTACGGCGAGCGATAAGCGCCCCAGCTGTCCTACGGCGGGCGATAAGCGCCCCAGCTGTCCTACGGCGGACGATAATCACCCCAGCTGTCCTGCAACAGGTGATAAGCGCCCCAGCTGTCCTACGGCGAGCGATAAGCGCCCCAGCTGTCCTACGGCGAGCGATAAGCGCCCCAGCTGTCCTACGGCGGGCGATAAGCGCCCCAGCTGTCCTACGGCGAGCGATAAGCGCCCCAGCTGTCCTACGGCGGGCGATAAGCGCCCCAGCTGTCCTACGGCGGACGATAATCACCCCAGCTGTCCTACGGCGGGCGATAAGCGCCCCAGCTGTCCTACGGCGAGCGATAAGCGCCCCAGCTGTCCTACGGCGGGCGATAAGCGCCCCAGCTGTCCTACGGCGGGCGATAAGCGCCCCAGCTGTCCTACGGCGAGCGATAAGCGCCCCAGCTGTCCTACGGCGGGCGATAAGCGCCCCAGCTGTCCTACGGCGGACGATAATCACCCCAGCTGTCCTGCAACAGGTGATAAGCGCCCCAGCTGTTCTACGGCGGGCGATAAGCACCCCAGCTGTCCTACGGCGGGCGATAAGCACCCGATCCGGTTGCTTACGACCATGTGGAAAGCGGCTTGTGGCTTTGTTGTTTTTCTTTGGAAGGGGGGGGGGAGGAGGGGCTGTCACTCTTATCCTTGGGGCACGTTTTCACATGCTCCACGGATATCGGTGACGCAATCACTTGAATGCTTCGTCTACATGACGAATGCTTGCCTTGAGGGTGAAGAGGGCGCTGAGGAACTTGCGCCGGTCACCGACCACCACGCAGTTGCTGACGAGGGGCAACTCCGACTTTATGGCCTCCTCGATGGCCACCGGCGCAATGTTCTTCCCGGCCGCCGTGATCAGGAGCTCCTGATGGGAAGAAAGTCGGGAGGAAGAGTTAGCAAAAGCACTGCAGGCTGGACAGTTCGAAACACTGACCGGTCAAGAACACGTCAGGCACTTATGCAATCCCAGTCACGTTCTGCTGCGTGTTCGCGTCCAACGCAGGTATGAAGCTGTTACACTGGCCGCCGATTCTTATACCGCTTGCATCTTACAGTGGCTGTGACACTATTAAAACCACGGCGTTTTGGCTGGAGTCGATCTAACATGTCACTCGCAAAGCGATCCCTCCATTGAAAACCAAGCTTACTCAACAATCTCCAGCATCCATCGTTAGCAAGCTGTTGGCTACTTGAACCTGTCGAAGAATACATAATGCATACTTATTTCGTTTTTCTACCCGGGTTTTATACATATCTAAGCGCATCGCAAGACGTGCCCAATCACCCCCTTTTCCCACCTTGATCCTGCTCGTGATGAAGACGTACCCAATCACCCCCTCTCCCACCTTGATCCTGCTCGTGATGAAAACGTACCCAATCACCCCCTCTCCCCACCATGATCCTGCCCGTGATACATACGTACTCAGTCATCCCCTCTCCCCACCTTGATCATGCCCGTAATATAGATGCACCCGGTCCCTCCCCTCTCCCCACCTTGATCCTGCCCGTGATGAAGACGTACCCGATCATCCCATTTACCCTCCTTGATATTACCAATGATGTAGCCCAACCCAGTCATCCCTCTCCTCACCTTGATCCTGCCCGTGATGTGGACGTCTCCAGTCCTCCCTCTCCTCACCTTGATCCTGCCGGTGATGCGGACGTCTCCAGTCCTCCCTCTCCTCACCTTGATCCTGCCGTGATGTGGACGTCTCCAGTCCTCCCTCTCCTCACCTTGATCCTGCCGGTGATGTGGACGTATCCGTCCGAGTCTATCCGGCCCACGTCTCCAGTCCTCAGCCAATCATCGTCGTCGATCGTCTCCCGCGTGGCGTCCTCACGGCCCAAGTAGCCCATGAAGATGTTGCGGCCCCAGTGCAGGATCTGTTCGGAGGATGAGCAGCCGCCGTGGTAAGACGTCAATAGGCGTGGCCAAGATTATGGAAGAAGTCCGCCATGCACCTAGCAATAAGGAGGCCAAGCTACGCAGCGCACACTACAACTAATAAGGCAGATTGTACGCAACATGTCGGCGGAGCCTGCACCTTGTGCCGCAATCCTTGCGACCAGACGTGAGCCGCAACAAACGCCCCCGGAGCCCAGCTTCGAAGGCTCTGGAGATCGACTCGCAAGCCCGCCTATAGAGACTGTCCGCCTCCGGCAGTGCAGTGACGTCATCGCCCCCCCCCCCCAGCAGTGCAGTGACGTCATCCGCCCCCGACAGTGCAGCGACGTCATCCGCCCCCAGCAGTGTAGTGACGTCACCTCTCCGTTCCCCTGCTCGTCCGGATCGAGGATCTTGACTTTGCAGCCGATGAACTCGCGCCCGATGCTGCCCAGCTTGAAGCCCTTGTGGTTGTTGATGGTGCAGGGGCCGCAGGTCTCGCTCAGTCCGTACATCTGTGGGCGGGGCAGCCCAACCCGGCTGTGATCGGGAGCTAGCAGCCCAACTCGGCTGTGACCGGGAGCTAGGGGGTCATGGCCCCGTAGCAAATGTGAAATTGGACTTCGTCACTGCGGTTTCTTTTAGGACTTTGTCACACAAGAACTACAACTAGTTCTTCGTCACGGAAAGGCTGGCGAGGAGGTTTCAGGAGGCTTCAAGGGTTGTCATCCTGGTATTTAAAAAAAAAACCTTGACGGGGAGCACGCATGCGACCTCCCTGGTAACAGGACAAAGGCAAACGTGTGTTCCCAAACGGGGCAACAGGACAAAGGCAAACTCTAACTGTTTCCAGCATTGAAACGCAGACTGGAACCTTGCAATGCGATGTGAGCGTCCGGGTCACGCACAATGCACGCACATGGCCGACAGCGAGATGCCGGCGGTCCCCCTGTCCGAGTGGGCGGAGAGGGGGAGGGGGGCGTGTCTCACCTCGAATATGGGGATGTTGAGACTCTGGACGAACGCCATCACGTCTGCCGAGATGGGCGCGGCCGAGGTGCCCGCGTGCCGCACGCGGTCCAGACCGATCTTCTCGCGCACCTTGCGCAGCATCAGGTCGGCCACAGTCAGGCTCCACGGCACCGGCGTGTCGATGTCTCTGGAAATGGTGACGCTGGGATTATGCCCGTGGACGCAGGACAGGTGGAATGGTGCCTCTGGGAACAACGCAGGCGGGTTAGAGAGATCCGACCACTCTGGATCTCAGCTCAGCACCAGAAGGACTCACTTGCCCGGAAACGAACTTTTACCATCGATACACATTTGTTATGCGAGCGAGCTCATGATATAAAAAAAAACTTGTGCCGCATTAACTTTCGCCCAAGATAGACTTCTGCTGCACGAACTTTTGCCCAGGACGAGCTTCATGCGGGCAAACTTTCACGAGACAGACTGTTGCCCTAGATGAACTTTTATCCCACGATCCTTTGCCCATACGAACTATTCCCCGACGAACTACTGTCCCACCAGCCTTTGCCAAACAGACTTTTGGCCCGGAGACCATCCAGCCCCGTTCCTCTTCCGGATCACGGGAGCAGCCCGAGGAGCCACTCCCACGTCAAGCTCTAGTCGTGAACGGCCTGTACAGTTTCAGACCCGACCCAGCTGGGCACCAGCTCGAAGCAAGATCGGAGCAGGGACTCATCAGACCCGACCCAGCTGGACGCCAGCTCGAAGCAAAATCGGAGCAGGCACTCACTTCTCCTTGAGGCTCCAGTAGTGGGACGCCTGAGCCCGACACCAGTTGAGCAGGGTCATTCTGAGTCCGCCGGACGACAGCGCCGCGCTGAACTTCTCGTACATCTTCTCGTAGATGCGCGGCACCCCCAGGAACAGCGTGGGCCTCACCTCGCAGAGCGTGGCTATGAGAGAGCCCTGCGGTACACCACACTCGGTGACCACAGTGGCGCGGTCCGTGCTTTCCAAAAAGCGCGGTGAGCCTCGCCACAGATCCAAGCTACACTCATGCAGGCACGCAGCGCAAATTTTCCTCAGGCGTGGAGAGGAAGCAGACGTCAATTTTTTCTTCAAAATCGTGAGTATTTGGACCAAATGCCTGGGAAACCACCCAGTATCTAGCGTAAATCTCTTAACTCCGTGTGAGGGGTGCCCCTTATCTCTTCTCTTGACTACGTCTCCGAACTTCATGAGATCCGCTGTAAATAGCTCAGCAGTCCCCAATGAAAACATTACCCCCCTCTCCCCCCAGCCACATTTATACGCACCGCGACGCCCCTTGGGGGCGTCACGGGATCGATCTCGACGAGATCAGGAGATCCACCTTGAGAACGTCGTGGGACCAGCCTCGACGGGGTCAGGGACTCACCTTGAGGGCGTCCGGTTGGGCGAAGTAGACCGTGCAGCCGGCGCGCAGGCACGCGTACATATCGACGATCTGTGCGGCGCCGTGGCACAGCGGCAGGTACGACACCATGGTGTCCTCGCCGTCCAGGTAGTTGGCGCACGCGGCACCGTGCTCGGCCGTCCACGTGTAGATGTCGTGGCTGATCATGACGCCCTTGGGCTGGCCGACCGTGCCCGACTGCGGCAAGGAGCACGGCGGCGGAGGATGTCAAGCGGCGGTCCACGCGCGGCAGTCGGGGGCACAGCGCTGCCGTTGTAGCGCGAGCTGTCTCGTCCCGTGTGACGTCATGTGACCGTTCAGACGTCACTTCACGCTGATCACCGTGACGTCACCACACCGAAAATTGTGCCCGGCTGTCCCAAGATCCCAGAGCGTCCGGCGTTACTGGTTTGGACACGGAGGCCTCATATGAAGTCCCTCTGCCAATGGTCGCACTTTGCGGCGGATGCCCGGAGCATTAACTGATACTCTCAATGCCCCGGTGCGACGCAGGCAGCTACGTCGTTAGGGAAAAAAGCAAACTGGACTATGACCACAGATGTTGGGTAACTGCGATCTAATTTGTTTCTATGCAAACCAATAGAACATGCATACGTGTGATCCTTCCTATAGAGAACTAGCCGTGGTTCAGTCCGACCAACGTCTGTGGAGGTCACACCCCTGGCACTGCCACTTCGAGCTTTCAAGGAGCACGTCTGGGTCACTGCACTTGAGCCGATGTGTTTGTATTGTTCATCACACGGATTGATCGTACATTGATCACACACATTGATCACACGATTGATCGACAGATCACTGCACTATCATGTGTGCGAAAGGCAACAGCGTAGCGCGAGCACTAGAGCACCAGTCATGGTTCCGTCGCGGCATCTGTCAGTGATGACGTTGCAACCAGCGCAACATTGAGGCGCGGGCAGTGTCCACAGCAAAACTGTCCACATGGCTGGGTCACCAGAGTCCTGTCCTCAGAGCACGAGCTATTCACATGGCTGAGTCAATAGAGTCCCGTCCTCAGAGCACGAGCTATCCACATGGCTGAGTCACCAGAGCCCTGTCCCCAGAGCACGAGCTATCCACATGGCTGAGTCACCAGAGCCCTGTCCTCAGAGCACGAGCTATCCACATGGCTGAGTCACCAGAGCCCTGTCCCCAGAGCACGAGCTATCCACATGGCTGAGTCACCAGAGCCCTGTCCCCAGAGCACGAGCTATCCACATGGCTGAGTCACCAGAGCCCTGTCCCCAGAGCACGAGCTATCCACATGGCTGAGTCAACCAGAATCCCTGTCCCCAGAGCACGAGCTATCCACATGGCGGTCACCTGAGCCTGTCCCCAGAGCACGAGCTAAATCCACATGAACTGGTCACCTGAGTCCTGTCCTCAGTATCAGAGCTATCCACATTACTGGGTCACCATAGCCCTTCCCCAGAGCACGAGCTATCCACATGGCTGAGTCACCAGAGCCCTGTCCCCAGAGCACGAGCTATCCACATGGCTGGGTCACCTGAGTCCTGTCCTCAGATCACGAGCTATCCACTTGGCTGAGTCACCAAGGTCCTGTCCTCAGAACGCGGGACGCTTCACTCTCACAGAACGGCCTGGAACGTCTCACAGAGGCAGTCCGCGAACCTTGCCCAACACAAAAAGCGCGGCGGAGCGCGAGTCGCCGGAGCGTCCGGTCTGGCGCGCACGCGGCACGGCCTGGCAGCTTACCGTGTAGATGACGGAGCAGCAGTGGTTGACCGCAATGCCCCGCAGGCGTTCGGCGAGCAGAGCCTCATCGCAACTGGCCCCGGACGCCATGAACTCCTCCCACTGCAGGCAGGGAGATGGCAAGGGTCAGCCGGGCCCCTCCGGGGATGCCAGACGTCCCTCACTGCGACAGTCGCGCCCTTGCTGGGGCCGCAGACCTCACGGCCACAGCTGGGATCTGCACCGAGGTCACTGTTGTCCCTCACAGTCACAGCGGCAGTCTGCATCAAGGCCACTTTTGTCCCTCGCAGCTACAGTGGGAATCTGCACCGAGGTTACTGCTGACCCTCGAAGCCACAGAGGGAGTCTGCACCACGGTCACCGTTGTCCCTCACATTCACAGTGGGAGTCTGCACCAAGATCACTGTTGTTCCCCACAGATACAGTGGGAATCTATACCGAGGGCACTGTTGTTCCCCACAGCCACAGTGGGAGTCTGCACCAGGGTCACTGTTGTCGCTCGCAGTCACAGTGGGAGTCTGCAACAAGGCCACTGTTGTCCCTAACAGTCACAGTGGGAATCTACGCCGAGGGCACTGTTGTCCCCCACAGCCACAGTGGGAGTCTGCACCAAGATCACTGTTGTTCCTCACATTCACAGTGGGAATCTGCACCGAGGTCACTGTTTTCCTTCACAGTCACAATGGGAGTCTGCACCAAGGTCACTATTGTCCTTCACAGACACAGGACTCTGCACTAAGGTCACTGTTGTCCCTCACAGACACAGGAGTCGGCACCAAGACACTGCAGGAGACTGAATCAGCCAAGGCCTGGAAAAACATTGAACGGCATGCTGGTAACTAACTACCGCTCTAGAACTGTTTAAAGGTCTCCGAAGCGGGTCCAATGGCACCAAATCAGTGGGGAGGTCTGTCACGAACCCGGCACAGGCACACGAACCAGGAACCAGACCTGAACACAGGTCTATCTCTATCCACACCCATGTACACCATTCCTCACATACTTTTCATCTCCAATGGCGCAGCGTACTCCGACGATACAACCTCCCGCATCACAGCCAGCTGAACATCCCCCAGCGGACACCGTGGTGACAACAGAAATTTGGGAGGCAACTTCAGCTTAGGGGGTTCGAGCAGCCCTCAAGCCTCGGTGGTCACTTCAACCATTTCGCAGGGGGAGGAGGGGGTCCTGGGAGCCGTAGAGGCTCCTGGCTGCGCCACCGGCACTGTCTGGTACGACACAACCCTGGCCTGTCGTGCTCTGACGCGGCCCGACCTGACCTTCCGACCTGATCTGACCTGACCTTCCCAGCACTGTGTCGAGCAGCGTGTTCATACTGACCGAAAGGACGCCGGCGCCTGCCGGCCGGCCCGTACCTGACCTTCCCAGCACTGCACCTAGCACCGTGTTCATACTGACCGAAAGGACACCGGCGGCGGCCGGCCGGCCCGTGTACTGCACGATGGTCTTGAGCTGCGGGCAGTTGTCCTTGACCTCGAGGATCCGCTGCAGGTACTTGTCGTTCTCCACCACGACCATGGTGACGTTGGTGTTGGTCAGGTAGAACTGGCACGTCGCCGAAGAGGAGGTCGTGTACATGCCGGTCGACACGCCGCTGTGAAACCGAAGGCATGTCTAAACAAGCGCACGTCTGTGCAAAACACATGCACAAGCCAGCAACAGGCATTTTGTATTTTACGCTCGTTAAGTTATCTGCTACGCAAAAAGGTTCTCGGGTTTTGAACATTAACACAAACACAGCTCGCTCGATCCTCCAGTCTGACTGCGGGAGACCGGCAGCCGAACGCGCGGGCTGACCGTCCCACAGTACCACGTCACCGCCTGTTACAAGCCCCCCCCCCCCCCCGGTCACACCAGACAGCCGCCGGCGACGCAGGTCACGCGTCGCGGAGAAACCCCAGCGTGTTGACTTCCCATGACATGCAACGTAGTGAGGTGAGTGGTCTGGGTGCGCGGATTACACTCGTGGGACACAGATAAAGTGTCAACGGCAGACAGCTGAGCTCGAGGGTGGACGTTCCTGAATCGGTGCACTCAAGTGTCGCGGTCTCCGTGTCAAGGGCAGTGGACTGATATCTTATGTCTGCGGACGTACGGTAGAGCGCGTGGTGATCAGGGTAGAAGGCCATGCGGTCTTGTGGACTGGCAAAAACTAGTCGGAGGGCGTCCGTAAATTACGGTACGCGTGGTGGAGGGGGAGGGCCTGCTGGCTTTGGGCAGTTCGCTTCCGTGCACCGCACGCTGTTGTGGCCGTAGCGCATTTCAGGACAGCGGCTCCGACACCAAAGCACCACACGGGGCCGCTCTGTCACCTACCCAGCCATAATGGCGCCCATGTTGGCCACGAAGTACTCGGGGGCGTTGAAGCCCATGATGGCGACGCCGTCGAACGGCTGCAGCCCCAGCTGGATGAAGGCCCTGGCCGCCGTGCGCACCTGCTCGTAGTACTCGCCGAAGGTGGTGCTCTGCCAGCGGCCGTCCCGCTTCACGCAGAGCGCGCTCCGGTCCGGCCATCTGCGGCACGGCGCGGAAGGCAGCAGTCAGAGGCCAGCCGTCCGAGGTCAGCGGTCAGAGGTCATCAGTTAGCGATCAGGGGTCATTAGGCAGCGGTCAGAGGTCAGCAGTCAGCAGTCAGAGATCAGCAGTCAGCAGTCAGAGGTCAGCAGTCAGAGGTCAGCAATCAGAGGTTAGAGGTCAGCAATCAGAAGTCAGAGATCAGCGGTCAGCGGTCATCAGTCGGCGGTCAGCGGTCAGTGGTCAGCAGTCAACAGTCAGCAGTCAGCGGTCGACGGTCATCAGTCAGTGGTCGGCGGCCGGCGGTCAGCAGTCAGCAGTCAGCGGTCAGCAGTCAGCGATTAGCAGTCAACGGTCAGCGGTCGGCGGTCAGGGATCAGGTCAGCAGTCACCGGTCAGGGGCCAGAGGTACGCAATCATAGGTCAACAATCAGAGGTCAGCTGTCAGCGGACGGAGATTAGGGGTCAGGAGTCAGCGGTCAGGAGTCAGAGGTCAGAGGTCACCGGCCACCCCGCCGGCCCGCTCAGGGACGCGTCGGCGGTCACTCGGCCCGCCCGGGTCGCGAGCAGCGCGGCCTGCGCGGCGGCTGGCGGGGAGGTGATCTGGTCTGCGACCAGACTCGAACAAAGTGCACTCAGTTTACAGGGCAAGACGGTGCACATTGAACACGTACTTTGAACGTTTTCTTAAAGGGTGGTGTACTTGTCTTTCTGGAATAACTGCCCGCTGGAAAATATCCATAACGAATGGAATATATTTCACATGCTATTCGAATTTGTGAATTGTGGTGCTAATACACATACGGGTGCTTAGTGCGCAATTTTGCAAATAACAATATAAGTTCACTGCATCGCATAATTTCAAAGTCGTTTCGCAATCAACATGTTATAAAAAGGTCGACAGCTTAAGGAATGCCGGAGTCTACCGCGGTAAAGGCCTCTCATGTTCGATGGGCGTCATATAAGCAAAGATGATAACTTATCAGATTCCAACAGAAACCGGCGCGAGATAGCGATTCTACTTGATTCTGCTCTGCTGCTCTGCTCTCCTCTGCTTGATTCTGCACTTGTCAGAAACGTTAAGGTCGCGATGCAATGACTGGTACCAAACTACGATCATCAACAGCAAACTATTTCACGTGGCGGTGGTACGCTGTTAGCAGTTCCCGCCAATCACATTGCAATTGGTAATAACACGCGGGTTCTTTCCTAGTTCACTGTCTTGTCATCCGCGGGAAAAAACAAAATATCAGGTCCTTGCCTTTTAAAGGAAAAATTCCATATTTGTATGTGGTTTTGAAATGAAAAGTCATATTAGACATTTTGATGCGGCGCACGGCCACGCGCTTCTTAAGACCTAAATCCCTCTGGTGCCTGAACTTAAAGGCCGCACAGATATGGGAGAGTAACTGTGGGTGAGTATTTCATGGTCAACTTGACATTCTTGACGTCGCAGTAACGCTATTTAAATCCTGGCATTCCATGAACCATGTGTCGATCAACGCCACTAAAAATATAACGATCAAACCGTTAATATATGACATTTGTGAGCACGGCGTCCAGACATAATGGGATTAAATTGGCTCGCATCAATGATGTGCAAGGTACGATGACGTAATAAAAAAATGACGTACCGAGGAGCACATTTACCAAACAGAGAAATTCTATCGTTTAGAGCAGTCTTTGGTACCAAAAATATGCCAGTAGTTATAAGTAAACTTGTTTAATCATATCTCACGATTACTTCAAATTCTCCAAATGTGAAACGTTCTCTTTAACATGTAGCACCTCTCTCTTACAACTAACCACTGGCTGCAGTGTAAGTTCTAAACAAAGGCATGCGTCGTTTATTCATTTCTAGCAGCGCATTTTGACGGAGACGTGTTCACCAATGTCAAGTGAGGGGCTCGAGTGGAGAACGCATACATACATAAACATGCTTTCTCGGTTCAGTCTCAGTGCGCACGATTGATGCCGGATAGCGAATTTGACAGGCACTTGTCTGCCTGGTGCGTGAAAGCCATACTGTAATAAAACAAAAAGCGGCCGGTTACAGAAAAGAAAAAGAAGAATAAGTTGAAACGGTTTGGATCTGCACGATTTGACAGCATGTTACGTCAAACCTGCAAATATGTTTTACTCACGTCGACGACATCAAAGCATCTTTGAGTTATCAGAATGATCACCCAAGCCTATAAGCCTGAGACGCGTCATGATTAGCCTCAGACGCGACACCGCTGCATGTTTTAGGCTATAGCAAACCATAGCTCCGATGTACCTGCCTCTATGGTCCGCCATGCCTCGCAGCGTAGAAATAATGTCCTTGTTATATGTATCGTAGGAGACGAGTGCACCATGCCGCTTGAACCCACATATCATCTTATGACCCTATAACTAAATGGATGGCGGGCACGAGTCGAGCCACACCGTGACCCTAGCCAGGGGGGGGGGGGGGGCGGGACGGGGCGGGGAAGTGTGACTGGCGGGAGTCGCCCCTGCACTCTCGCTCCAGGCGAGGGAGACGTAGAAGACGAGAGATGGCAAGCCTCTCCCTCTATTTGACTCCTCCTTTAACTGATATCGAATCACAACCAGTGATGTGTCATGCCAAGGAAACCCAGCCATGTCTGGCTTCAGCCCTTGAGGCTGCTAATCTGTGACTGCGCAGACTGACTACACTCAGTATTTGGGCGGGCCAGGGTGAAACGAAGCGTCACCGACTCACCTTTCGGCCGTCGTCCTGAGAAGGCTGGGCACGCTGACCGGCTTGGTGTTGGCTTCGAAGTCGTCCGGCACCCTGGTCTTGACGGCGCCCTTGATGACGTGCGTGTAGCGCTGCTCGCTGGGGACCACCTGGTCCGGGCCTGCGGGCAGCGGCGGCGTCAGGCTCCGGTCAGGGGGAGGCCGGTCGGCCACCTGGCTGTAGCGCTACTCGCTGGGAACGACCTGGTCCGGGCCTGCGGGCAGCGGCGACGCCAGGCTCTGGTCAGGGGGAGGCCGGTCGGCCACCCGGCTGTAGCGCTACTCGCTGGGGACCACCTGGTCCGGGCCTGCGGGCAGCGGCGGCGCCAGGCTCTGATCAGGGGGAGGCCGGTCGGCCACCCGGCTGTAGCGCTACTCGCTGGGAACGACCTGGTCCGGACCTGCGGGCAGCGGCGACGCCAGGCTCTGGTCAGGGGGAGGCCGGTCGGCCACCCGGCTGTAGCGCTACTCGCTGGGAACCACTTGGTCCGGGCCTGCGGGCAGCGGCGGCGCCAGGCTCCTGTCAGGGGGAGGCAGGTCGACCGACCCGGCTGCTCGACTGGCCGCTGGACCAAGCATGTCACAGCACGACCTATGAAGTGCGGTGCTGATAATGGTGCGCACCTTTTCTATATAAACGCATTTATCCCAGGAGAAATTTGTTGGCGCCGTCCGACCCGCTGCACTGATGACTTATCTGTCACCCTACGCGTTTTGCGTGGTTACATCTTCGCACACGCATACGCAGAAACACCCGCAACATCAGTTCCTTGTTTCTGGTTTCAGAACCAGGAAGAACCCGGAAACCGATTCAATATCAAGCACACACACGCACGCACGCACGCACGCACATACGCACACACGCACGCACGAACGCATATGCACGCGCGTCCGCACACGCATATACGTGGGCGCGTGATCAATCATCTTCATGTTTTAAACAGTGCCGTTTTTCTAACGCTGCAGCCTTTATCCGTGAACGTTTCCATTGACCAATCAAGCTGTCTATTAAGTTTGGCGTCTCTGATTGATGAGCCCTGGTCTTATGTCCTACCTAACTCGACTGTTTTTTTCAAAGCTCTTTTACCATGCACAATTTTGCCACCCCCTTGACCATCCGACACATCCGTGCCATGATGATAGACGTGATGATGGCTAACAAAATACGTGCACACACCGGCTTATCAATACAGACACAAATCTAACACAAGCCACAAACCCAGCAAGAAGCAGAATCCAACACTGTATGGTGAAGGGGTTACCAGCAAGCATCCGTATCCAGCTGGCCACTGAGCCGAGGGACCCGGCAAGAACCAGAAACCGCCTTGGAATATGCATAGGGATCCATCCAGCAAGAGAGAGAAGAGCCATTCCGGAATCACACCGAGAGATCCAACGAGATCCAATATCCAGCCTGGATCATGACCGAAGATATGGCAAGATACATGATCCAGCCTGGAACTATGCCGAAAATTCAGCAAGAACCTAGATCCAGTACAAAGTCAGGGGAACCAGCGAGCACCAGGGTTTTACCTACAGTTACTGCCAGGAACCTGCATAGAACCACACGGTGCACTTATGTGACGCGCAGCGTACAAGAAAATGCTGCCGAAAATATGCACGGTATTCAGACGACATGTATTTAGTAGTAGCTAATTGCCAAATAGTACCATGAGTTTGTCTTTACGAATGAGCCACTCAGAAGCAGGCCCCGGGATCTGAGGTTAAGTGAGTGAGCAAATCGGAACCAAAAACAAAGATCTGGCGTTTGTGAAGAAGCGATAGGAACCTGGAACCAGGCTTTGGTCTTTGTACAGGATCTAGCAAAAACCAGGACCAAGATCCTCGTGTTCGCTAAATAGCCAGAGGGTACCTCAAACCGGGGCCTCGTGTTCGTTGCATAACCAGAGAGTAACTCAAACCAGGACCTCGTGTTTCTTAAATAACCAGAGGGTACCTCGAACCAGGACCTCGTGTCCGATACATAACCAGAGGGTACGTAGAACGTGAGCCTCGTGTTCGTTAAATAACCCGAGGGTACCTTTAACCAGAGGCTGGTGTTTATGCAGAGACTTAAGGGAACCAAGAACCAGAGCCAATGAGATCCAGGAGCCAGAGTCCGGAGCTTGCAAAAAAGAAAACAACAGAAAACAAAAACGCAGAAGCAAAACAAAGGGATGCAGAAACCAAAGGCTGGTGTTTTCGAAAGAGCTAGCCGATCCAGGGTCTAGCTTTCATCAGGGGGAAAAAGGAACGAGGAACCGAAAATGAGGGCCAGGTAAATCGTATTGTTAAAGCATGAGACTCTTGGGAACGTAGAATACGCCATTTGCTCTAAAAATACTAATGAAGTCAAATGGTTCGCATTTTTTTAAAACAGGGACGAGGCGCACGTCGTCACGCCCTTTATGGAGCACCAGCGTTGGCCATATTGGCGCTCAGGGGCCATGGAACAACCGGGGATCGGGCCCGGGCTCCGAGTGAGGGTCCGACGCGCTAGTCACTCGGCCATTGCGACCCTGGTGGTTCGAACTATAGTTTGGATAAGGGCCTGAATTAAATACCAGATTTCTTCCACGAGTGTCAAACAACCTGCGCCACGACGAAAACTAGTTACCAAGATGATTTATTTTAATATTTTACGTTTCATGACGAGCGGCCCAGTTCTAAAAGAGTTCCGACATAATTTGTAGCTGAAATAAATGTATAATGAAGGTTTCATCCCAGAAAGGAACCCTGTTCAATCCCTTTAAAGGCCATCACGCTACCTTCTCCCGTCAATGTCCGTTTTCCCGTAAATTGGAACACGTTGAAATTTTAGGCTGGGCGACCAAGCGACGCACGCTACGCCAGAAGTGTTTCACCCCGGCGTCATTTCCACGGTGCTGTGTGGACATCGGCGCCGAGGGTACTATGTTAAGACCTGACACCAAGATTGCTCAACCCTCGTTGACATCTGCTTTGATTGTGCCGTCCACAGCGTGTGCCTTTGTCGCGTCTTCCGCCCGGTGCGCAGAAGTCTGTGGTGAAGAATTTCGAAGAACCTCCCGACTCCCTCCTCGCTGAGAGGGAGCCGGGACAGCGCTGCCCCAACCACCCTCCTCGCTGGGAGGGAGTCGGGAGAGCGCTGTCCCAATCACCCTCCTCGCTGGGAGGGAGTCGGGAGAGCGCTGTCCCAGTCACCCATCTCGCTGGAGGGAGTCAGGAGAGCGCTGTCCCAGTCACCCTTCTCGCTGGAGGGAGTCAGGAGAGCGCTGCCCGAACCATCCTCCTCGCTGGGAGGGAGTCGGGAGAGCGCTACCCCAGTGACCCTGCTCGCTGGGAGGGAGTTGGGAGCGTGCTGCCGGAAGGCCGGGCGCCGCCAATAAACAAGGCGGGGCGAGCGCCAGGCCCGGCGGAGTGCAGGGTCCGATCCGACCGACAGCCAGCGGTCACACTGCGACGCGATCTGTACAGAGATAAATACCACATACCGGCGCCAGCTGAGCCAACACAGACAGCCCGTACTCACGACAGACTCGCCGCCCGAGCGTCGCAGTCTCCCGCTGCGCTGGGAGGCCACGTCAGCAGCTTGGGTTCGCGCGTGCGGCCCGTGGCGGTGATCTTCCGGAAGTGAAACAATGCCATGCTGGTGGGAAGCGGCGTACATAGTGGGAACTCCGGCCAGTGGTCTGCGTCCCCGTGCGTTTAGTTGGTAACAACATTAATTATGAAGTTTCCATACCATGCGTTGCTTACTGACCAGGGGCGGCGCCAATGATAGGGGGCAAATTTTTCCAAGCGGCCTCCTGAATAACATGGGGCTTGCTCACGGGGAAGGGGGGGGGCACCGGTGGCGCCGGCTACCGGTGACCCCATCGACATTTTTACCATATGTATCAATATCCATGAGAGTAAAAGCCGACGACGAAACAATCCTGAGCAGAGGTCTTCTGTTATTGGAGGGGGATTCCACATCCAGCAAAAGGGCTTCCCTACCCCAAGACTCCCATCTCTCAATATTTCTCTCCTTCCATAAATGACAATCATGCAAAAATAGCCTCATAATCCAGAACAAAATCCTTCCGATCAAAAAGGGTCCTCCAAATCCGACAAAAGGCCTCCTTTTCCCGAACAGGTCACCGCCATTCGGGGCAGTGGCTCTCTGACGCATGAGAGGGGCCTCGCGGTCCAGAATAAGGCCTCCTGATATAGCGGTGATGTCTTCTCACCCAAAAAGATAAGACGGCAAACAGGGACCATTAGATCATAACGGAGTTACCCCAGTCGGTAACAACGGATCTCTTTAGTACAAAATGGAGATTTCTGATCCACAAAACGGGCCTCTTGACGCGGAAAAGTCTTTTCAACTCGATGTAGTACCAGCTAGTTCAGTTATGGGGATCTCCTTCAACTTACTTGGCAGGACATGCGAAGCTACAAAACCTTCATCTCGAGCAAAACAATTACTCCGAGCGGGCAAAAGCATACCACTATGCCCACTCTAACTCCCCCGTCCTGTTCCCCCTGCGCTGCTCCGGTTGCTAGCAATGCTCAACCTCATGTTTTCCGAGTCGATAAAAAATGTCCGTCTTTATCTGGCTTTCAGCGCCAAAAATTGACCCTGGTTACACTCACCATTGTTGTACTCATTTGACGACATACTGTTCCGGACACCTGCAAAAAGACCATCATTAGAAAAAGTGCAGAAATGCGGAACTGCCTTTTCCTCAGCCAGGCCAAGCCCAGCGACTGCTTCTTTAAACAAAACGGCTCATAGTAACAGGTGGCGGCATATTTACGATATGGCTATCGTTGAGGAGGTCATTAACCGCAAGTCAACAGAAGCGCGAGGGGCATCGCTGACATGAGACATCGGGGACATCACTGACGTGGGACGCGCGGGGCATCACTGTCGTGAGACACGAGGGGCATCACTGTCTTGATACACCAGGGACATCGCTGTCGTGAGACACGAGGAGCACCACTGTCTTGATACACCAGGGGCATCGCTGTCGTGAGACACGATGGGTATCACTGTCGTGAGACACGACGGGCATCACTGTCTTGATACACCAGGGGCATCGCTGACGTGAGACACGACGGGCATCGCTGTCTTGATACACCAGGGGCATCACTGACGTGAGACACGAGGGACATCGCTGACGTGAGACATCAGGGGCATCATTGTCGTGAGACACGAGGGCATCGCTGACGTGAGACAGGAGGAGTTTAACCACAATCAATGCGGAACGAAACACACGAAGGTCTACTGTCGTAGGCGTTACATGCATAGCTGTACAAGACCAACCAATCGACGCTTTCGTCCGTGACATAGCCCAGCCCCTTCCTTCTGTTTATTCACTTGATGAGGCACAGCAAACTGCGCTGTTGCGACACGCACTGGAAGCTGCGGTTCCTAGACAGTGTTACGACACGCTGCCAGTACCACGATTTGGAATGCACCCACAGCGACGGTGTATTCCAACTACCAGGAGCTTTTCAATCCCAATGCTTTCCCCCAAAAATCATCATTTTGTGGCCCAGCCCCGTTTTCACTTTGAGATCACACGTTTGACCACCATTTTGGGCGAGATGCTGGCTCGCGGTTGTGATCTACTTCCAGTCAGCTGGACCTTTGCTGCGATGCGAAGCAAACTGCGCAAACCACCCAGAGATGCGGTCACCCTCGCTGCCACTAGAGCGTCAGCAACGCCGCACCTGCGCCCTCCCTCTCGTCGCCTCACCTCTCACCGGGCACCCACAGTCACCGCCACGCGCCCCTCCTCACGCGCCGTACGCAGCGCGGCACTGCCACTGCGCCGCGGCGGAAGCAGAGTCCGACGACCAGATGACCTCGAAACGCGCTACCATTGGCGGCCGGCCGGCGCGTCACGGTGCTCGTCCCGCGGACGGGCGCGGCGCGGCGGCCCGTTCGCGGGTGGGACGGTCGGGACTCCAGATACAGCTCGATGGGGGCTGAGGCCAGTCTGATAGCGGGTGTCGCATGGCGCGTGCAGGCGAAGGCTGGGGACAATCTTCGCCGCTCAGACAACATGATCTTGTGGAGGTCTCAAGTAGCATAGGCATACTGGTTTTGATCGCGTTGGGTGCAGCGAGAGGTCATTTGGAGCGTGTCTCTCTGCTGAGTGTGTAAAATTGCCAGATGTCCGACTGAACGCCTCGAAGATCGCTCGGAAAACACTCGGAGAACGCTCGGAGAACCCGGCTGTTTGTCAGCTGCGGCCCACCCGCTGCCAACGCCCTTAACAACTCCCGGGACATCAGCGGCCGGTTCCATGGCCAGGGTTGGCCGTCGTGTGCCGCCCCGGACTGCGGAATGCGTGAGACAGCGAGCCCCCCAGAGGCCGCTGATCGCACGCGATGCGAGCGGCGTCGACGGATGCCATATGCGGCAGAAAAGACAAGTGTGCCGAGCCGCCTCGCCTATCTACCTGCGGAAATCGCCGAACTGTGTATTATGAGCTGTGGGATCCACGAGGGTCTCGTGGTATTCAGCTGAAGCCGTAGGCCGAGTGGTGTTTTCGAGGTCACCGGCCCGGCTCTACCCGACCCCGCCGTCACGCTCTCGAGAACCCAAGCGGGTCAGCGCAGCTTTCACCAATGCGAAGCGTTATTCTATAATAGTTGTACGACCTGAATTGTTATACCCTGACGTGGAGCGAGATGTGCTGACATGTTATATAGGAATTATTAGGTCCTGCTTGGTCGGATGGGCGTCTCCTTTGAGATCGAAGCATCGTCATGATCCACCTTCCCCATTCGATCAACAATGAAAGGACAAGAATCGCGACAAGTCAAGTCGCGGCGACAAATTCTTAAATTGTAACAACCTGGAGAACATGGGCCTAGACGAGGTCCAGACCTGGACCACCCAGCGCCGCAGTGATGTGCTTATATATTCTGATCGTTACTGCTGACGGAGAGAGAACGGACTATCAATTTTCCAAAGTTTTGGTCAGTGAGCACAGTCCAGATCACCACGCGCCACGCGCCGCCGTACTTGCGCAACTGATGCATGCTCGGGACGATTTTAAGGATGCATAACAGAGCTCAGCAGCCAGAGCGAAGGGAGACGCGAAACTAACGGCACCGTATAGGTAAATGATGGAGCTACAACACACGACTGGATCTCAGGGCTATTCAACCCATAATGTAGATGATCATTAATCACAAAGATCGTCAAAAAATGTTAGTTTCAACGCCAGCAATCGTCGGTAACCAAACGGAGAGAGCAATGTTGATGTTGCTGGACGTCTGGCACGCATATCGTATATTCGTATTCACATAAGACTATGTCTGTTACTTAGGGCTTCACGTTGTCGAGCCATGCTCTGTTTGTTATGGAGTGAGGCAAGGAGGAATAGTATCACCGTGGTTGTTTGATGTGTATATCACCGTTTAACACACATGCAGGGTTGGGGTACGATGCAGGAGAGAAATAAATTAATCGCGTGGTGTATGCGGACAACATCGCGCTCATAACACTGTCTGTAAGTGGGCTGAAAGGTGGCCTAAGCGTCCGCGAGGATTTTGATCATGCACATGACATAGTATTCAATCCTTCAAAGGAACGATATGGCATTGAAATGAAAAAGCTTACGTCCACACAAATATGACCTTTTGCTCTAAATGGGATTCCGATTGAAGAGGTCACCAACACCGCGCATCTCGGACATGCAGTTAACAACTAGCTGTCAGATGGCGATATCACTTGTCAACGAAGAGAACCATACGCTGAAGACCACACACTTCTTCGAAGGTTTAAGGCTCATCACACAACAGAGAGACCACACACTGTACAGAGATACACGCACACACATAGACACACAGTTTCAGTCGGTAAGTCAACGATTTACAATAGTCGAGAGTGCCTGGCGCGAGGGGGCGCGAACGGCCGCCGCAGGCACCCGGTTCCACGCGGCGACGGCGCGGCACGAAAAGTGGCGCTGGCTGGCGCTCAGTCGGACGCGTGGCATTTATAGCGAGCCGCCAACGCCCAAAACAGCCCGAGTTTGGCGTTGGGAAGACTCGGCGCATGTTACGTATAGAGTACGCAGAGCACTGGGAGATTCGGGGACGTGCAGTGCCCTGTACACCTTTAGGCCGCCCCGGTGGTGCTCAAGATTCGCGACGCTACGCCAGCCGAGTGCCTCCAGAACGAGTGAAATGTGATCGCTGCGGCGGACACCACTCGGTAGCCTGGCAGCGAAGTGCGTCACCCTTTGCAGCCTGTCTAGGTGACGCTCAGCCGCTCCACCCCAGTTGGACAGGCGGCAGAAGATGTGGGGGAAGACGTGGATTTCGTCAAGGAACTTCAAAACCTCAGGAGTGGAGTGGTGTCGGATTTTGAACAGGTATAAGAGGGTTGTATTACAGCGTCGAACGAGAGAGGAGATGAGGGGTTACCAGGTGAGGTGGTGGTCGAGGAGTTACACGGTCCTTTCACTGAGGGTGATGGATGAATGTTAGTGCCGGAGATGGTAATGTGGAAGTTGCTGGTCTTTGTGGTAGAGGGTTTGTTGCCGATCAGTATGAAGTCTGTCTTGTGGTTCATTTTAAGGGTTTTTGGCTGAAACCAGTTTTGAAGGCACTGATTGGATTACTCGACACGGGCTTTCAGGTTGGACAGGCCGACGACATCGGGGGTAGCGGAGTCAAAGAGTTAGATGCCATCAACGTAGGATAGTAGGCGACCGTGGGACAGGAAGCCAGATAGGTAGTCGGTGAAGATGAGGAACAGCATTGGACAGATAGGAGATCCCTGGGACACCCCGTGGGATAGAGATAAGGTAACCGGGCCACCACTGACCACCTGCTTCCGGCCGCTCAGGTTGTCTCGGAACCACCAATTCCGAATTCCAGGGTGCTGGGGAGGACGCCGTGATCAACGCTGTCAAAGGCTTTGCTAAGGTCAATCGTCGTTATCGACGCGACGTGGCTGTTGGCAGCCCTTGCCAGCTTCCCCCCCCCCCACACACAGTGCTGATCAGGGCGTCCTCCATCGAGTGACGTGGACGGTAGGCATATTGCGGTGGCATCAGTATGTGATTGACAAGAAAGTAAGAGGTGAACTTGGAGCAGACGACCTTCTTGGTAATTTTCGACAGTACAGAGAGAATAGAAATGAGTCGAAAGTTGAAAAAAGCCAGGTCTGATCGATCGCCCGACTTGAACACCGGGGTGACGAGCGCGATCTTTCAGACGGACGGAAAGGTGCGTGGTGTGATAGAAAAGTTGATCAGATATAGAAGATGTGCGCCGATGTGCGCCAGGGAAACATCTTTTCTCTGCAAAGAAGTGGTGCGCCGTCGCCGCCGACTGCCCTCGACGCGCTCATCTTCCTGATGGCTGCAGAAAGCTCCGGTAGAGTGGCTGGATGCATGGAGAACCCCGAGGCACAGACACGATACGGGCGCGGTCTAGCCGGAGGCGCACCCGCATTACCACGTACCGCCGCCGCCTCCACAATGATGCGGGAGACAACGGCAGCGAAGTGGGCGCTGAGTACGTCCGCCCCGGTGCCCACAGCGTAATCGGGTGTGTCTCGCCCCCTCGCTGGCTGCAGTCCGAATTGCTCGAGGCGGCTCCAGAAATCTCCCCGCCCTGCCAGCAGACCGCTGCACAGGTGGGAACGTCGCGCGAGAGTGCTCAGTCCCTACATTTTACTACAGCACCGCTGGTACGCGCGGAGCGCCTCTGTGGTACGGCAGCGCTCCCAGGTCTCGCGGGCGCAGTCGCGCTTCTCCACAGCTCCGGAGACTTCTGCATCTCCACGCTGCCGTGGACAGCCGGACCTGCGTGACGTCACGGCGATGGTCGGGCAGTGAGCGTCGATTGCGACGTTCCACACTTCCATAAATACGGCCACCTTGTCACCGGCGGTGCCAGCGGCGCAGAGCGGCTCCCAATCGGCGAGCAGCAGACTCAGGTTGAACGCGTCTCAGTGGACGCGTTTCCACGGTCGCACGGTGGTGGGGACTGACCAGTACAATGCAAAGGTACAATGCAAAGTTTTCTATCAGCTTTTGCAATTCAGTCAAATTGCAGGATGGATTCTAATCGTGATAGCCGACGTAAATATGCTGTATCTGCTCTGTACAGTTGAAACGCAAATAAAGTCCCTACACGATCTAGTGCGCCTGATTTCTCGGAGGGAATCCTGGAACCTTGGTCTATAACGTAGCACACAGCTGCTGTGCGGAACAGTGCTGATCCAGGCGCGTGCCCTCGGCAGCAAACAGGTCAAAAGGTTGACATTGTTGATGGCTGGCCCATTCATTACACGATGTGATAATGAAGCTCGACCGGAATCGAAGTGAGCTGAAAACGCTGCTGTGCTGTCGGGTCTGTCGCGTGCTTGGCAAATAGGTGGGTAGCATACGTTACAATCTGACCTTAATTCGGCAATATTTACGAAATAAAGCCAAGGAATCACCGCGATATTTGATGTTTTGATACCGTTTATGGCGAAATTAGAGCGAGTGTTCCACATTTGTACAATATTTTGATCCGAGATAGCTTTTTTGAAGATCACTCGGTGCAGTTCACAGTCCTGCGCTTCTGAAGTCTTAAGATCCCCTTGTTCCTGAGCTAGCGAAGCCTGCGAAGCTGTACAGACTATTTGGTGCAGGTTATTTCAAAATCACCCAAGCATGACGTCATAGAAACGCATCTTAGATACTGCCACTCCATCGGCCATGCGGTGTCCAAAGACACCAATGGTAAGCGTTCAATGAAAATATCAAACACGCATCATTTGTTTGTGCTGTTGTAGCGTTGCAGCGGAGTGCGCGCTGTGCAA